GTTGGAATAAGATTATATTCTACAAAATCAGAAAAATAAGCTTGATCACTCAAGTGTTTGGTCAACTCATGATGAGATGAAAATGAGGCCTTACTTTGTGTTTTTCCAGTAGATTTAGATTGCCATTGCAGGCTGATAATTTGTTGTTTTTTAAATGCTGTAACCTGATTTTGAAACATGTGCAGCTTGCATTATTTTATTGATTATTATATTACTATTTTATTTATTAATTTTCAATTAAAGAACATGTTCCTGACAAAATTTTCCCTAGTATTAAAAGCAAATGCAGTATTGGCATGTAATGTGGTTGTGTAAGAGGCTCACTCTTAAAATCCAAATTTTTGAGAAAATGAACATTTTTTTCAGCTGTTTTCTGCAGAAATGCCAATAAATTTTACCGAAATTATTATTTGGACAGCATGTAGCAAAAATGAACCAGTTGTTTTCAATTATTATTGCCAAATTTCACAGGATAATTTATTTTCCTACAAAAGAATGCTCGGCAGATCTTCTCAAAGTTTTGTGGAATTCTTGCTCTGGCATGACTCAACTTTCTGAAATTTTCAAAAGAGTCGGTTCAATTATTTTCCCGTAAATAAGTAAATTTTCCAACGGAATCAAGCATTGGCTGTTGTCAGTTGGTTCTCTTTTGCTAAATGCTGCTCATCCACGCTCTTGAAAACACGGTGGAGTAGCAGCTAGATAAAAGAGGATGAAATGTTAGGAATACATTAAAGGGAGGGGAAACAAACCGTAAAAGTGAAGTTAAGCCTGAGACTATTTGGGCAACACTGTTGATTGAGTGAATAGTGAAAAAGGTTTGCAAGCGGCCATGCGAAAAGAAAACCAGGGAAACTGAAAATTCCACTCCGCCATACTTTGTCGCTCTGGTAAACTATTACTATACAACTTATGATTGTTGTCAAATTCTCATTCCTACTAACCTGCAGAAACAAAATCACTCAGTATGAATGTTTAGCAAAAATTCCAACTCAGGGTATTGATAATAACGTTTAAATCCAGTCCATTCGCACCAAAGAAAGGAGACTGTAGCTAACTCATCATTTACATGTTCTGAAATTCTTGAACCTCTTACCCCAGTAGCATTGACTGTTAGGTTTAACGTTAAGACGAAGTGATCATTTTGGCTTGTAAAAAATTACTGACCTCCTTTTAAACTTAAAACTGAGTGGTTTAGATGACCCATAAAATTTTGAGATCATAGGTGCACCAAGACCCTGACCAAATGTTTTCCATTCAAGTGTCTAAAAATGTACAAAGCAAAATAATTTTAGTCAATAAAATTCTTAAATTTGAAGTTTAAAAATTGACTGTAGACAAGTTGGGAAATTCGGAGGTTTAAGTTTGAGTAAGATAAAATTTAAAAGGGCTTGTTATCCTTTTTTCTTCATTTCCACCGAAACTTATAAGATCCTATCTTTTTTCTTTTCTTCTCTTTCCCGAAAATTCAACGTACTGCTTTTTCTAACTTAAAATTTATTTTTTGTATTTTGCAAATGTAACGACTCACAAGTTCAAAAATATATTGAAGCCAGCTTTCAACCTTCTCTGCCTGCTTCAGGAGAGGATGCATCCTGAATTTCTTGGTTGTTGATACTGAAAGCAATCTTGATGCATTCTAAAACATTTTGTCGGTCTAATTATTCTCACTCCTACAGCTTATCAACCTTTACTGAGAACTTCAAATTTTCATGCACCATCTGAAATTTTTTTTCTCATTTGACCTGCGTTTAATCTAAAGTCAGCACTTTTCAGATCTTTTCTAATTTGTTTTACCTTTGAGGAAACCTAGTTTTTTAATTCATAATTTATTTTCATCTCTTAACCTCATTTTCTGCTCAGCTGAGTTATTTAAATGTATATGAACACAGTATTTTAGTACTTTTTGATGAGCTTCTGAATGTCTCAATTTTTGGGTTACCATAGGAACTTCCTAAGGGTAACATTATACATTATTTATCTCACATTCTCTATTAGGAGGTGTATTTCTTTTTGATCCAAATAATATGTATTTTTTCTATCAACCCAGGAAGTGTATTTGTATTATGATACTTATGCCAGGAATGAGATTCTGGGCTTACTTTACGCTATGCTACCAGGAGGGAGGAGGGGTTTAGCATAGCGTTACAGAACCTTTTCAGCCTTCCCAAAAATGCTAGAATGTTGGAAATAAATTTTAGCCTAAAAGTTTTTTAATTAAGTCACCATATTTTTTTTGTGGCCTCATTTTTTCACTGTATTTTATTTGAATTTTAAGCTTAATGCCCCATATTTTATATAATTCTCATTTGAATTTTTTCTCTGTTTTTTGTTTTTTGTTTTTTTAAGAAATAATGGAAGAGGGAGGTCCACACAAGATTTTGTAATTTATTATGGAGGTCCGAGGCTGCATCATTTCCCGTTGCATGAGAGCTAGTGGAGGATAAGGGGGGGGGACAAGTAGGAAAAATGCATCACATACTGACCTTATATCACCTGTTTTTAGAGCAAAAGCAGCAAACTCCGTCGATTGTCAATAACATTTTGTTAAAATTTAGTTACGTATTCATACTAACAAAAATCTTGTAAGGACACCTCATTTGTATATATTGTAGCAGTAAGGATAATGAGTGTCTCAAGTTGTTAATTACATTGCAAACAATGTCAAATATGAATCTTTGGCCCCTAAACTTTCTATGTCACAATAATACCTATATTCAAAATCCTTTATATTTGAGCAGTTCAAACACAAGTTGATTTTTAAGCCTAGTAGTTTTCCACAAAAAAAAAATCTCATAATCAGGACCAATTTGTATTTATCAAAGCATCTCTCCTTCCTTTTGCATGGCTTAAAGGTGCTCGAATTTTTTATTAAAATTAATGGATAGTAAAATCTGATCAGTCTTTTCAGTAAAAAAAATGAAACATCTAAGCAAACTATCTCAACGAAAATTGTGAAAACTTACCTCCCAATACGTATTTGCTGGTCCTTTTACCTAGTAACTAATGTAATTGATTTCATTCTCACTTTTCCTTTTGCATTTTCTTTCCAACCCTTTCTCCTCATCTCCATCTTTATCATTTAAAGGTTTGATAAGATGAATGCTCAATCTAATATTAATCTATGCTTTTGGAAAAATTCTAAAGCCTTTTCTACATCAACATTATATGTATTTACTTTTGAAGTTGCCCCATGAAAAATTTTGTTTGAGTAAAATTTGTTCTACCCTCCCTGTGAAATTTACCAATGTACGAGTATCAGATGTTTTATTTTTGGAGGAGATGGCTCCCATTCATAGATGCCGCCACAAAGAGATACCATTTTAAAAGGAATTTTTCTTAGACCTTGATTAATCTTATTTTCAAGTGTTTTTATCAAGTAATTTAAGATTAAGTGTTGTTTTAACTTCCATGAAAATTTCAAAATGTTGGACTTCTTTTTTTTTTTCTCTTTGTCTCTTTAGGATGTACACGGAGAAGCAGTTCAAAGACGAACTACTGGTGACGACAGTGCCTGAAATCCAACGAACGAACTTGGCAAACACGGTTCTGCTACTTAAATCCCTTGGTGTCCAAGATTTACTACAGTTCCATTTTATGGACCCACCTCCACAGGTTAGTTTTTCCTCTCTAAATTTCCTCATCATCACCTAATTATTGTAACAGCATGGACTCCTTCTCAGGCCTTTCGTAAATTATTCACTTTGTGTATCGTGTATGTCTTAATGGCTTAATAATGTCTAAATGGTTCCAATACCGGCTTACATAATGCTAAGTGTTGTCTGCTTCTACTTTTCTGCAGGTCAAAATAACCTAATTTTTAGAGTTACATATTTTCCAAGAAGCCCAATTGACCTCAAGCGTATTCAGAAATGTATTTCATGCTAGATGAAACATTGAAAAATTAATTTTTCAGGTCTCCAAAGGTGGCCTTTTCTATAATCTTAAAATGTTGCACATCATCTGTAGATCTATAAGACTCAGTAAGTGAGGGACAAAGCACATTCAAAGGTCCGAAGAGGAATGTTATGAATCATTTTCAAATAAGAATTTCCAAGGTCTCTTTTGGGGAAGGATGCAGGAGGCAACTAATGAGATCGAGCAACATCCAACCTAGCTACATATTATCAGAATTTTCAGTACCAAATTTTGGCAGCGGTTTGATCAGGACTCAATTCAATTAGCTGGTAGATGACGAATAAATATTCCCTGTCATGTGCAGTAACAGATTTCAAAATATTCATCCAAGGAAATGGATTTTACACTTTTGAATTTCATGAAAAAAGAAAGTTCTGAAAAGAAAAAAGAGTCTTATGCATAAAAATGGACCAATATTATGTTGTAAAGGTGTAACGTCAAGTGAAACTTTCAAATACATTTTGTCTATTTGTTTCGTCCCGTGTATGCACCTTTGTTTTGTATCCTACCTGTACCTACTGCTCTTTTTTCAGGACAACATTCTAAATTCCCTCTACCAACTTTGGATTTTGGGGGCGTTAGACCACACTGGAACACTGACTGCGTTAGGCAGGCAAATGGCAGAGTTCCCATTAGACCCTCCGCAATGTCAAATGCTCATAGTCTCAACCCAAATGAAGTGTTCAGCAGATGTTCTCATTATAGGTAACTCCATTTTTTATACCCTAACCTCTGAGTAAAAAAAAGTTTTCTTTTGCAGAACATTTTGCCAAAAAAATGAAAAAGCCTGGTCCCTCTTTCTGTATTAGAACTCGCATCAGAGAAGGTGATATATGTTAACTTTTAACTGTCATGTACAGTAGACTGTCTAAAATATCTGCACATAGGAGAGTTGTCGTTTAGTCAATCCTCAATTGAGGACCATGCCGGAAGAAGGGCGTATCTCGAGATTGGTGTTTCAGAATTTGTTAATATCTCATTCATTGTTAGGAATGCATGTATTTCATTGAAATTTTTACCTAATGCTCCTCATGATCCTGCAATGTTCTGTGGAAAAAATCCCGAAAAAATCACCCATTAGATTCTTCTCTAAGACACATACTGCGGACAAAGAGTCCAAAACTGTCCTTTTGTAGGTTTTATTGCCTGCAAATGCTGTGCATGTTTTTCCTTGTTTTTATCCCTTGTAAAGTTAGTAATTTCTGTCTCTTAGGAGTCTATTATTAAATCGAGCCTGAATTATTTGAAATTGATGGAATAGTCTAGGTCTAAAAGTTTTCAAGCATTTCGTTATAAGTCTAGTTTTTTTTCTTGCAAATTTTAAAAAGTACAGCAAGCTTTGTTGCTGCTTATCAGTCGGGCACAAGCACTGTCACTATCAGCAAGAATGATGATTCTTTACTTTAGATTTTGTGAATTATTTCTGGGACAGAACTCTTCATTTAAAAAAAAGAAACAATTTTGCAAACATGCATTTATTATTTGCATTTTCAGGACATGTACATTTTCGGAGAAATAATAATTTAAGTTCGTGTTACGATAGATCCATGACTTTTTCTTTGAAGAAAATGTATCCTCTCAAAGAGTCTCAACCGCATTTTATTTATGTTCTCTGTTTATTTTTCTTTTGCAGTTTCAATGTTATCCGTTCCGTCCATATTCTATCGCCCTAAGGGCAGGGAAGAGGAAGCTGATTCTGTGCGGGAGAAGTTTCAAGTACCTGAGTCTGATCATCTAACTTATTTGAATGTTTATAATCAGTGGAAACAGAACAAGTAAGCTAATTTGTCTGATCTAGTAACTAACTCATGAGTTTTTAATATCTTATGTTGTCTTAGTTTCCCAGTTAAGACTCTCTGAAATTCAGTCATGAATTGGTTTCTTTCTTTTATTTTACAGCTACTCAGCCAACTGGTGTAATGAACATTTCATCCACATCAAAGCAATGCGAAAAGTACGAGAGGTCCGTCAACAGTTGAAAGATATCATGGTTCAACAGAAGTTGGAAATTGCATCCTGTGGAACTGATTGGGACATCATTCGCAAATGCATTTGCTCTGGTAAATTCTTCACTGTATTATTTATTAACCTGCTTTAACCCATTGATTCAACATGACAACTCAGAGCAGTTGGTCGACTTTGAATTGATATTTTTGATTTATTGATGTTTCTCTGATTAGACCGTGTTCTCATCAATGTTTATATGAGCAGCGGAACCAACCAATAACTTATTTTTTAGAAGAATTTTCTGCTTTGCCTAGGTATCATTATAAGTTGAACCTTTATTAACCTCAAATTTTCTTGATTTTTGCTCCTGTAGCAATTTTTGTGAATTTGAAAGTAATAAATTGACAATACAGAATGATGCCGTTGCCATTTACCGTTGTTCAATTGTGTTCCTCACCCAACTACAATGATGAAAAATCAAAGTACATGTATCATTCATTTTTTTGCAGCTTACTTCCATCAAGCTGCAAGGCTCAAAGGGATCGGCGAGTATGTCAATTGTCGGACAGGGATGCCGTGTTACCTGCACCCCACCTCGGCGCTTTTTGGTATGGGTTTCACGCCAGACTACGTCATTTATCACGAACTGGTCATGACTGCAAAGGTAACTTATTAGTCATCCATTAACCATGTAACAGCTCATTTTCAAATTATATCTATTCATTGTACTTAAAGTGTGTTGTAACGTATCAATTGGGCAGTGCTTAACAAAAGAAAGCAACGTGCTATGACCTTGAAAGGGAGAATATATGAATACTGATTCTCAGATCTTTTTACCACCATCTGTAATTTCAACCAAGGGCAATGCAAGAAAAAGTGTAATGCACAAATTATCAATTTAAAATGGTAAATTACAATAGGTCAGTTGCACTAGTCATAGAACTGTGTTTTAATGATTAAAGATTTTAGACTAGAAAAAAACCACCTTGGTGCTGAGCTCTGCTTCGAATGTTAACTTCAAAATGCAAAATAAATCAACAAGGTGGATGCTCACTATGAGCATTCTACCTCAGGATCATCCATGAGGCATGTAAAGCAACCAGTCAGTGTTTGCTGCATTGATTTATAAACCTCAGATATAAGAAACCATATTATTTACTACTGCACTGGATGATGTCTAGGATGTGTTTTTTGAAGAGAGATACCTCAGTTAATACTGGATGTATAAACTCTACATTTTGACAGCCTTCATTATATTATGCTAATTTTTAAATCTAAACCATTAAATTACGATTAAATAACTGGCATAATAAAAAGCTGACATTACAGTTCTTCCTTTTTATTTTTAGACTTGTTTAAATATCTGCATTCATTGTTTCAGGAGTACATGCAATGCGTGACTGCAGTGGATGGACATTGGTTGGCAGAGCTTGGACCAATGTTCTTCTCTGTGAAAGAAACGGGCCGATCTGGGTCTGCCAAACGGAAGCAGGCGCTAGAACACCTTCAGGAGATGGAAGGGCAGATGAAAGCTGCGCACGAAGAGATCGAAGCTCGGAAGAAAGAAATGGAACTCAAAGAGGCCAGCAGTGTCAGAAGGTATATTGTGAATGATCTGTACTTCTGTATAATGTACAGCTTATTAGACATGAAGGGCCAAACATCATTTTGATTACATTTTGCAATAAGGAACCACTATTTCTGGCCCACTTTGGAAACAACATACATGTCATTGGTTTCCCTATGCAAATGTGTGCTTTCATGGGAGAGCCAGAGATAGAGGTTCCCCATTGCAAAATGTAATCCATTTGTTTATGGAAGAATACGATTGCTCATTTCCTAGCCATCCTTTTTCTGGATTTTTTTCTAGCCTAAGTTTTTCTTCAATAAAAAACATTCCTCAATTTGAATATTTTTTTACTCTGAACACTGTTAAGCTGCTTCAAACCGCAGGTAGTCTGGTTCATCTAGTTCTGTGCAATCCATGGATAATGAAAGCCCCTCAGTTTGCCTACTTACAACACTCTGAGTGCACATATCTCTAACTGCAAGTCAGTGAGTGAAGCAGGCTGGTCATATCATTTCATTCCATTGTTTTGACTGTACCAATCCACAACTTATTGATAATCGGATCTTATGAAGGCTGGATAAATGGATCAGTTGATTCAACTGATCAATAACTAATGTCTACTTTTGCTTCACCTTGCAGATTCCAATAAATTATCTATCAAATTCAAATTTTTTTGCCAAAAATTATCACATAGTAACATACATGGCTGTTTAGTCTAAGGAGTATTCATTTTGCCTGTCCAACAAATTAGACAATAATAAAACTTAGGCAGTTAATTATTAAAATAAAAGAGATAACCTAAAGTAAAAGACAAAACATGTTTTAGAACGGTAAATTTAACAGGTATAGAAGATAAATAGCTGCAATGACCTGTCTTGAAGATGTAATACGTGATTAAGACTTAGTTTGCAATTAATTGAAGAAAATTAAATTTCAATAACTTCCTATAACTTTCTTAACAGGCTCTTGATTTTATTGTACATGTGAAAAAAAAAAAAATATCTGTGTAACACAATATTTTGTGTTTCAGGACTGAAATCGTGACTCCAGGTCTAATGGATTCTAAAGGAGGTGCAACTCCACGCAGGACCCCAGCTCGTTTTGGTCTCTAGAATTTGATGATCTCTATCGAGCAGTTTCATTGATTCTCATTCTCTCCTGCGTCAAAATAAATGAAACATCCACTTACATCGCCTTAGACAATGTAACTAGTCATTCTTATTTTCTGTTGATATCCTCTAGCCACACCAACTTCTTGCTTTGAAGCAATGCTATGGTAATACTTGTTGTGTGCAATTTTTGCCCATGCTCTTGTAATATTGTAAAATAACTGTTAATTGACTTTTGTCGGATTTTTGTAAATTTTTAAAATATAGGTTTATTTTGCCATTGAAGAGTGTTATAAATTTTTGTACTTTCAAAAATATAATACAATTGAAAGGAAGTATTTAAAGATGGATCCTGAAACAAATCATAAGTTACTGTAAGTGACAGCTGCATTCATTGTTGTCCTTCAAAAAGAGCTTTTCTCTTTCAGACACCGAATGATTTACAATATAATTCAGGGGACTTTAAAGGAAACCTATCATGTAACATCATTAAAAAAACGATGTTCACAAACTTCAAGTTAAATTCAAAATAATTAGTTCGGAAATAGATCCTTTCAAAAGATTTCAATTATGTGCCAATATAAAAAATGAAAGCCATGATGGAAAAAACATAAGATTTGAAAATTCTCAGGTAGTTCTATACTTATCATAAAATTGATCAACCACGTGGAGTTCCTTATGTATTGTATTAATAATGTATTTTTGAGAATGGGAAATCATTATCATACTCACCAAAGCGATATTTCCAAAGTCATGCAATAGAAAGAGCCTCCCAAAATTTCGCCCCTTTTCCGGCATTCGATTCGACCATCGAACCAAGGTTTAAGTGGAAGCTTATAATAACAGAAAACTCCGGAAAAAATTTCAAAATGAATAAAGGAACCATTTTCGAGTTACGGGGGGGCAAAGGGGTCAAACTCCGGCCTCATTTTTCGCTATTTTCTTGTTGAATTGATGTGTCTACAGGGTTTTTATCGTTGTTTACACATGTTATACACATCGGTTCCTATGTATTTTTACACACAAAATTGAGTTTTAATGTTGACGAGTCGATATCGATTGGTTATGTCGATTTTATAAGATTCTTTACGGAAAATCAACAATTTATTGAGATTGAAATCGTTCATTTTTGATCAATGGATGACTAAATGCACCTAATATGACTGTAGTACACCGAGACCTACGTATTTTTTCTTGTAGAATCGATTTTTAACGTTTACGAGTCGATATATCAATCGCTTCTATCGAATTTTTGCGATTTTTTAGGAAAATCAATGATTTATTGGTATTGAAATTGGTTATTCTCCATCCAAGAACAAGCAAATTTTGGGTTGGAACACCTTCCCGGTCGTATCGAATTCCAGTTGAGTCAATTTTTCGATTGGAGCATACATTTTCGGTCGAGTAGAAATTAAGATTTTCAATTTCCGGTCAAGTGAAATTTCGGGTGGATAACGAATCCCAATGATTTGTGGTTTCCGGTCGGTCAGATTTCCAGGTGCCAGGTGCGCAGCCCCCGGCTTTGGATCCGTAGGTGCCGGGGGGGCGGCCCCCGGCTTTGGCTCCTTAGTTGCCAGGTGGGTGGCCCCAGGCTTTTGCTCCTCCCGACTTTCTCCCTAATGCGGTAATTCGTATCCCGTTGCCTGAAGTCAATGTTTCGCCTTCAAATGGGCGGGTATGCAAAATGACTGCCGTGACGCACGAATAGTGGTATCAGAATTTTGCATTATGTTTACGGATTGATTTGAAGGCGCTCTTCTGTATCCATTGTGAGTGGCCTTGTACAACGATGTTGACCAAAAAGTTTGTAATTTTGGGTTTTCAATCGAGTTGCATATTCGAAAAATTTCGAAAATTTTCGAAAATTTCGAAAAATTTTCGATTTCCGGTCAAGTGAAATTTCGGGTGGATAACGAATCCCGTTGATTGTGGTTTCGGGTCGGTCAGATTTCCGATCGAATCAAATTTTCAGTCGAGTCATATTTTCGACAGGGACACGTTACCGGTTGGAAACAGTTTCCAGTTTGGTTAATTTCCGGTCACGTCAAATACGGATGGATTACGGTTCCAGTGAATTGGAATTTTGGGATGGGTCAGTTTTCAGGTTGGATCGAATTTCCAGTTGAGTCAAGTTTTCGATTGGAGCACGTTTCCGGTCGAGCAGAGTTTACGGTTGTCGATTTCCGGTTAAGTAAAATTCGGCCGGACGATTGGTCGATTGATTAGAGTTTCCGGTGGGTAAGATCACCGGTTTGAGTAAAGTTTTGGTTTGCAGGGTTAGATCAGGTTTTCGGTTGAGAAGGATTTGTGGTGAATTTGAGTTTCCAGTTAATTTAAAGATTCAGTCAAGTGAATCAAGTGTCCTGTTTAATTGAACGATACCAATTTTTTAATTGACGATTTGCGTTGTCCAGGGAGATCATCGATTGTTAAATCCAAGAATTCCGAGGGATGCACCAGAAACAAAAAAGAAACACACATGCTGATTAGAAGAGAGAAAAGTACATGTAAACTTGAAGATGGAAATAAATATCTCTGAAATCTTTATCAGTGTATATGTCGCAGGCAGTCAGCAATCGCCGGCAATTTGCAAGCTCCGTATTTGTCAATTCGTCAAATTGCAATTACGATAACATCGATACCTATAGTAAAGGTTTCTTCAGCGGAGAAATTCAAGGCACGGCCTCAGCTTGAAACGCCTTCAAATCCAGCAATACTCTCCGCTTTGCCAAGGAGTTAGTTTAGTTGCTTAACCGAACCTAACACATTATTGATGACATTTCACGAAATCGCAATAGTGTGCTAGCTGGCACCATGTAGGTATCCAAGAAGAAGGGGCTAACGTATGTTTGATCTCAAAGCATAATAATCCCTTTCTCCAATCTCGTTTTTTCACTTTAAATCGATTTAATTTGTTGATTAAACACGAATAGAGTGCAATTTGCCGGCGATTGCTAATTGCCTGCAACATAAATACCTGAGAATGTTTGTGAAGAAATTAATGAGAAAAAAAATTACTGACTGAACAATCACAATCACTGCCTGTGCAAATGTTAATTAAACAATACTAAAGCACTTTATCGATGGTAAAAGTGCGAATCCCGGAAAACACGATCTTCCAGGAGAGTAAAAAAAAACTGTCTGCATTCCTCTTTATTGTCGGTAGAAGGGTAATTATTCTTGAGGATAGCAAGAATAATATGTTTTTTCAAACTTGCAGTTTCAATAATTTCTCGAACTGTTAGAAACTACGGCAGAAATGCCGAAATTCGCGTTTTTGGCACTAAGAATCGACACTTCATCAGGAGATACACATTTTTGTCATTAGTGTTTTAAACTTGTCGGTGGATTTGGATCATTTAAAGACTGAAAAAAGGGTTTCACACTTAAATTTCCTTATCAGATGAGATTTAGTTGGTCATCGATGCACTATCCATCCATGCTTTACGCTTTCCTAATGGCCCAGTGGACAAAGTACCTTTTCTTCTATTTTGATTATTCACAGTTAATCAACAAAAGCTCATTTTATCCGTGCGAAACTTTTTGAATTCACAACCGCATTTGAGTAAGTTGAGATCTTGGAAACAGCGACTCTTTCAGTTTCGCTTCAGAATACGATTACCGAACCAAGGGACTTAAAATACACCATCTAATCCAGCCGCCTGCGCTCTCTTCTTTGAAATAAGACGGAGAGACTAAGACAATCTTATTATTTTTTCAAAAAAATATTCCACGAAATTTTTCGAATATGCAACTCGATTGAAAACCCAAAATTACAAACTTTTTGGTCAACATCGTTGTACAAGGCCACTCACAATGGATACAGAAGAGCGCCTTCAAATCAATTCGTAAACATAATGCAAAATTCTGATACCACTATTCGTGCGTCACGGCAGTCATTTTGCATACCCGCCCATTTGAAGGCGAAACATTGACTTCAGGCAACGGGATACGAATTACCGCATTAGGGAGAAAGTCGGGAGGAGCAAAAGCCTGGGGCCACCCACCTGGCAACTAAGGAGCCAAAGCCGGGGGCCGCCCCCCCGGCACCTACGGATCCAAAGCCGGGGGCTGCGCACCTGGCACCTGGAAATCTGACCGACCGGAAACCACAAATCATTGGGATTCGTTATACACCCGAAATTTCACTTGACCGGAAATTGAAAATCTTAATTTCTACTCGACCGAAAATGTGCTCCAATCGAAAAATTGACTCAACTGGAATTCGATACGACCGGGAAGGTGTTCCAACCCAAAATTTGCTTGTTCTTGGATGGAGAATAACCAATTTCAATACCAATAAATCATTGATTTTCCTAAAAAATCGCAAAAATTCGATAGAAGCGATTGATATATCGACTCGTAAACGTTAAAAATCGATTCTACAAGAAAAAATACGTAGGTCTCGGTGTACTACAGTCATATTAGGTGCATTTAGTCATCCATTGATCAAAAATGAACGATTTCAATCTCAACAAATCGTCGATATTCAGTAAAGAATCTTAAAAAATCGATATAACCGATCGATACATCGACTCGTCAATATTAAAACTCGATTATGCGTGTAAAGATACGTAGGAAGCGGTCTGCATAACGTGTGTAAACAACGATAACAACCCCATAGACACATCAATTCTACAAGAAAATAGTGAAGAGTAGGGCCGGAGTTTGACCCCTTTGCCCACCCGTAACTCAAAAACGGTTCCTTTACTCATTTTGAAATTTTTTCCGGAGTTTTCTGTTATTATAAGCTTCCATTTAAGCCTTGGTTCGATGGTCGAATCGAATACCGAAAAAGGGGCGAAAATCAGTTCTCATTTTGGGAGGCTCTTTCCTTGAGATTTGCAATATTCCGAAAAATTTGCAAAAATGATTTCATAATAAGATTTACAAAAATCTGCAATAAAAACCGAAGTTCTCAGATTTGCCTGAAAAGTGAGCCAGGCCAGTGTAAAATGTTGCCACAAGTCTGATTTTCAGGCCGAAAATGTTCCTTTTTTTTCTCACAATTAGGAGGATCGGATAAAACTTTGCTTCTTGAAAGTACCTCTTCCTCAGTACTCACTGAGTTACAGATAAAGCCTGAGAGTAAATTATCAAAAGGGTCAAACACTCTCGATTCTCAGCTCAGGAAATCTGCCTTGTATCAAAGGAAATTTGGCGAGAGACGATGGTTTATACGGCATTTTCTCTCAGCAAGGTTGCATAGTTTTCATCCATAAACTACAAATCTTCCTTCATTGCGAAATACACTCTAATAGAGTGCGGCCAGCGCGAAGTTTGCA